TTACAGAAAGGCCTCACAGGTTCAACCTTAGAAGAGATTTCAGGCATCAACCTAGTGCACTGCAAGGTGCTACAAGGTTTTCCAGAGTCTTTACCTCTTAGAGTTTTATCTACAGTTTTTTACCCTGGGTTAGTTTGACTTCCTTAAATTTAAATTAATAGTATCACAAGGTATGCAAGACTTTTAATGTGTGGGCAAGACTTCTTGAAGCCAGACAAGTGAGTTTTGCAAGAATGTATTGTTATTGCATTTAATAAGGAATTAGGCCTACAGTTTGTAATAAAACAGGCAGAGCATGCCTCAACTTGCAAGGCTGTTTCCAATTAACAAAAGTCTAATCGTCTGATTGGTGGGAAGTTGGAGAGAAAATAAGTATTAATGAGGGTTTAGGGCAGACAAAACTTAGGATGTGGTTTGGAGACAGTGAAGAGATTATCCTGGATCTGAATTTTGAAGAAAAAAAAAACGTAAATTTAAGGAATTGGGATGTGATTTTCAACATCCTTTGTTTACATTCACATCATTCTGATGACCATGACCATTCTAAACACAAAACCCATCCAGCTTGTTTCTAGTGCTATTTAATTTGTCACTGGTCCACATTTCATTGTAAAGTTCTTTGCAAGTGTAGGCCAAAAAGGCATGAGATATTTAAATGTGAATGTTTAAAATGTTACAGCTATTGTCCACTCATAATGAGGGAAAAAACAAAGGTCCCTTTCCAAGTGTGCTTTAGGTTCATTTTGCATATGTCACAGTATTACACCTTGTCATGAAGTCATCCAATATCAGTCATAAGCTACATGTATGCTGAGTCAATTCAAGCAACAGACTACATGGAGTCCAACTGTGGCAAAGGTAAACCTACAAGGTTGTCAGTCCTTGCTGTTTCAATGTTTGAGACCTGATTTGTATTGCACTTATGAATGACTAGACATGCATGAGGTGATTTGATAAAGACCATGTGAGTACGGTTACTACTGTCATGAAAGAACATTACAAAATTAACATAAAGAAAGGGAAGTCCCAATGTCACGCCTACCTATTTGCTTGGACTGCGTTCCCACGGGGGACATGGGTGCATAATCATTATCCGATAGTATCTCACTCTGTGACATATCATCATTAAACTCCAACAACTCCTTGCCAAGTTGCTCATGCCTAGGATCCTCAAAGAGCCGCTTGGAAGCTAGGTAAGGCACCCCCCGTTGTGAGTGATCAGGATCTGAGGGCCTGTCAGACACTTCACTATGGGGCTGCTGCATTCGAGATGTGGGGGTCCCACTCCTATTGCTGCCTAACTTGTTAGGCAAAGAGTTTGTAGGCAGCGGCCTATGTGAAGAGTGACTCTCACATGGTACTCCTCCTGGGTAGGTGTGGTGCACATCATGCTGATACGAAGCTGGAGTCATTGAATGGTGTTGTCTTACAGGTGGTAGGGGTGCTTTGTCTGTGGACTGATGCATCATGGGACAGCAGTGGGAATCCATATGTAGATTGGGGTGTGCATGAGAGCAAGTTGGGGCAGGACAGGTTATTTCTGTGGGTGAATCGATGTCTGTAGGAGGTTGTTCTGGGGGAGGGGGTAGTAACTCTGTCCAGTTGCGAGCTGGTTGGTTGGAACCACTTCTGTGGTGCTTTTTTCTGCTAGCGCGATCTCCTGCAAGGAAGGAAAGACACACATTAGTCAAAAGTTCTCCTTCATATGCACAAATAGTACACAAGATAGTAAAAAGGAATCCTGAATAAATGTCAAACTCAACACTTAAAACCAATGTTACTTTCAGCAAGAATGTCAGTCTTGAGTCTCGACACTTTTGAGTAAGTTTCAGTTTGCATATGCATAAGTTCTTCCCAGATGCAATAACAAACCAAAAATTCAGAGACATGAGCATCTATTAAATTTTATCTTTGGATCACACCTTACATGTGCAAGTTCTCAGAGGGTGAAAATAAAATACATGTATATGGCAAAGTTCTTGTTTATCATTGAAGGTGCTATATGTTATTGGTTTGACTTTTTTTGATTAGTCCCAAGTGCTAGTGAGGTGGAAATATCCTGCTGCTTTTGAAATCCCATGAGGATGAAAATAGCCTTATCTTTTCCTTGATTGATCAACAGTGGTACGGTCTGTTGGATTTGCCTCTCTCTTGAGAGTGCATCTCTACATAAATCTAAACTTTGGACTACGTAACATTTGGATGATTTGGTTTCTGTTGTTCCCACAGATATGTGCATTGATGTACATAATCAAGGGGAAATTGACGCATCTTGATGTGCACATGCTCTGACATCTATTACACAACTTCCCCCATAATGCTCTGGATATTAAACACAATGGAATTCTTGCCCACCATAGAAGCTGATCGAGAATGCAAATACAGCAGTAATGAGCCTGTGACTGGGACTTAACTATTGGCTTCAAAAGTACTAAGAAGGTCTAATAAAATTATGACATCAAAGCAATAAGAATGCACAGAGGGTCTGTAATTCAAAGGCATTGGTCTGCAAAAATGAGTCATGTCGCCACAGCTGCTTTTGAGCATTTGAAAGTATCTTGCACAGTGCTTATGCAATAGGAATCTTCAACATCTACACAACGTCCATTTTCATCATACGAAGCTGTGCAACACATCAAAACAGAGAGCTCAAATTCCTCAATCTAAGACAAATTTAAATTCATATGGGCCATTCTATAAATTTGGGTCAAATTTTTTGCCGTCCTTGTTCTATCTTAAGTATAGGGCTGTGCCGAATATCCGAATATTCGATCAATTGTCGAATATTATTTTTTGAAATTGAATATTCGAATGCAAAATTCATGAAAAATAAGGGAAAATGTTCTTTTGTTTTAAATGAGAAAAATTGCACTTTGGAGGCTAATTTCAAGCAGATTCAAATGAAAAGCTTCAGAAATCTTACAACGATTTAAAAAGTCAATTATTCATTAAACAATTTAAAAGAAATAGAAATTTTCGACAGGCCTATAAGTGTTGTTCGTCTCTTAAATCTTGATAAATCATGGCTGGAGATACTCCTAGATGTGAGAAGCTATTATATTGATCACAATGTACAAGTGTGTGTTATTGCAACTGATTTTGTATATGGTTTCTTCATCAACAATCTGCCGGTCGGTATGACCAAATATTCGGATATTTGATCAAATTGAAGATCGAATATTCAAATAGTGAATTATTAGAATTGACTCAGCCCTACTGAAGTATGATCTTTTAATTCCTAGAACTCATTCTTTAATTTCAAAGATTGAATAATTACTGCGAATTACCTGCCAAACAAATAAAAATAGTATGAAATCAATTTCAGTGTCATAGTATACGTATTGGGTTTAACAGGGACACATAAATGACACGTCAGACCCAAAATTTATGGAATGACTCAAAAGTGGTATCAATGACTTGTAACTCATTTTTGCAGAGCGGGTCAATATGATCATTATCCCTGCACACTAGGTTCACAACATCTGTACATTCCTGAGATCATCAGGTCCTTGGGAAGTAAACTAGCCCCATGCTGCCATATCAGGTGTAAAAAGCGGAACATAGTAACTGTATCTGCCCTCGGTCACAGGTACCCTACTCCTGGGTGGAGAGAGGCACATAGGGGTAAAGTGACTTGCCCAAGATCACAACATGCTGCCACCAGCTGGATTTGATCTGAAGTTACAAACTCTATCCACTGGGTCACAGGCCCCCATAATAACACAATATTGTGAATATAAGTATCCTGAAGCACATCCAGACCAAACGCATGTAGATACGGATTTAAATGCACCTGAGTATGCAGAATTGTACACATTTGTAACAGTAAATCAAGAAAACAAACCAGCAACTCACCTAAAACAAATCAGTAACTCATTTAAAACAAACCTGTAACTCACCTAAAATAAACCTGTAACTCACCTACTGAACTTGTTCCAGAATCACTTGGTAAACTATGGCACTCAGATGCACTTGGCAAGCTGCCATCTAGAGAAAGGAACCACAAATTACCTATGAGATGATGAACTAAATCAGTCTCTTTACAAAGAGTTCACTGGGTGAGATAGGTCAGATCTTAGCCATTTACAAACCATGAGCTCAAACCTCTATTTTGAGGAGTCACACACGGAAGTAAAAATGCCTTCTTTTTTCTGAGATGTCTGGAATGTGGGCCATTTAATATGCATGTTTCAGACTAACTTCAGTGCAGTCACTAACTTTCAGCACAGATGGCATTCTCATCTGAGTAAAATGTGTGAGCTGTTCAGTGAATCAGTCAGTAGTACACTACAATCCTTATTGTTTGGGGACACAGTCAATCCCAAATCATTCATCGTTCATGCAACTTCAGTGCTGACTTCACATTGTATGAGCAACCTGTGATTGTCATTATCTCACCAATCCACACTATCTGAGAACATTTCTAGCTACATCTTTCAAAACAAGTGGAATGCCCTTATCTGAGGTACTACATTACATCTTCCAAACATCTAAATTTGGTCAGGGATATATTGACCTCTCATTGGTAAGGCTGGCAGTCCTGATCCCCCGCTGCTACTATAGGCAGCATTGTCAGCTCCAGACCGGCTGGTCTTGCGCACACCAGGTGGCCGTGTGGTGGAACCTGAGCCGGAGTTGGAGCTGCTGTCACTACACTTTTGCCTCCTAGCAGCATACTCCCTGACATTGGGAGGTAGGACCAAGGTAGCCGAGGCGTAAGGCTCTGTGTCATGGATGCATAACAGGTGTGGAGTCCTAGGATAGCTGCCCTGGCAACAAGGTGTGTGTAACTCACTCTCGACCACTGCATACTCAGGGCTTCTGAAAGAAAATCAAATTATGAACGTTATACTAACTGCACACATCATACAACTATCCGCTGATCAGTTGATGATAAAAAGAAAAAAACAGTTTTGGCATCTAGAAAGTGACTCCAGAATACTTTCTGGTTTACTTTATTTAGAACAGCACATTGCCCTTTGCATGGGAATCGAAAGGTGCAGAATGCCTCAGGGCCCAGTTTTATCGAGGTGAATACAGCATAAAATACTGTTAAATCAGGTTATGTGCTCAGTTGAAGTCTACTAAAACCAGTCATGAGACTCTGTATGATGCAAGACATTGAGACTGGTCAGCAAATTTTGCTCAAAAATTTTCACTGCTTGCGACTGTCTAGCTCTTTAAATTTGGCACACTCAATTTCATATAAGTGCCACACTATGTCAGTCATAATTTGTTAGTTAATTTGTTGTTGTTAGTTCAATGTGGACCAATCAACCACCTACAGCACAATCACAGTTTGGAAGCATGCTCTTATTGGTATTTTGAGAATCTACAAAGATGTTATCACGAAGTTGTGATGTGTTAAATCCATTGTTTACTTAGTGAAATCATTCCCAGCAGCCAGTTACCAAATATGTGACAATATTCACAGTCTAAGGCAAAATATCTGACAATATTCACAGTCTAAGGCCAAACAACTGACAATATTCACAGTCTAAGGCTAAATATGTGACAATATTCAGTCTTAGGCTAAATATCTGACAATATTCACAGTCTTAGGGCAAACAACTGACAATATTCACAGTCTAAGGCCAAATATCTGACAATATTCACAGTCTTAGGCCAAATATCTGACAATATTCACAGTCTTAGGCCAAATTTCAAGTCACTGCTACTTCTAATTCTCAGCATTGATACCCTAACCATGAATCAGCAAAAGACTACTCATGAATGACACACATTGAGAGACTCTTGTTGGTTGCCAAGCTGTCACAGTTAAGGGGAAAATTTTATGAGTAGTAAATTTTTTTGTTTAGCAGCACCGTCAAATTATAGTCAGAATATCAATGACTAGGCATACCCTGCTTGTTTAGGGATGGAGCCTTGGAAGGTAGATAGAGTAGGAGTTGAAGTATCAAAGTTACTGCTACGTTGGCTGTCTACATGCTGTGGCATGGTTCCTTCCTTACTCTCCCCTTGACAATCACCAATCATCATAGCCTGCTTGCAAACCTCAGTATCTATTCAGGGTGAAAAAATTAACTTCATATTAGCTGACGAGTACTGTGAAGTAAATGGGATAATGTTAAAAATTCAGCATGACATCAAGGGGTCAATATGGCTAGGCAGCAACAATGCAGGAAACTTAACATGTACACTTAATATTTCTTTTTTGTCAGAACTCCATAGTCTAGACAATTTTAGGACATGCCTGATTTAAATTGAGCGCCTATGTTGAGAATGAAGGAATGTATTTAGTTGGTTCCTAATGCATTTTCATTTGTGTGATGTCAACTGCAGGATTTTTTTTTCCAGACGTTCAATCGTTCAACAGCAAACCTGTGAAATTACTTCCAACTCAAACCTCATTATGACACATTACCACAGCTAGACACGAGTAACTAACATGCATGCCTGGTATCTCATATTAGTTTGCTGGCTTCACATTAAAAAGTTATTGATAATAATTATCAGTTCACTAATTGTAGAGCTAGACCACTGATGGTGACTTGCTTTACATGTCAATATGAGGCACAATCAAAAGTCATAGTTGTTCACCCAAAGGCATTCATCTTTTGCTTTTGGTTCTGTCATTATTGTCAAGCACACACAAGCAAGGTACAAATCTAAACATGCACTACCTAACCATGAAATATGCCATCCATAGGTATACAACTGTGCTCAACAATTACATGTACATACTAGTAGTGGTTCCAGATTGCAGGAGCCAAGATTAAAGAGGTCAGTTAAAGATGTACATATTTCAGGTCAATGGGGCCATTTAACAGTGTATGGTGACAATACATTCTGGCATTGGACATTTGTAGGGGCAGCTGATGGGTTAAACCTTTAAGCTTAGATGACTTTGTATGAAACTTGTGTTTCAATGGTTCATATTGCTTCTGTATAAACTCAGTGTCTAACCATGTGTAGAAGTAAGTACAGGACTGGCTGGCTGTATAGCCAGTTGCTACAGCAATTATCACTACACTGTGGAGCCCCAGAGAAGCAAAATAAAAAGTAATGATAGGAAATATCATACAAAAGTTGAATTGGCTCCCGACAGCCAGTGTTTATGTGTTAAGTTGCATTCCGAACAACCAGTTTTAAGGTGTTTAGTTGGACTCTCAACAGCCAGTGTTTAGTTGGACTCCTAACAACCAGTGTTCATGGTGTTTTGTTGGACTCCCAACAACCAGTATTCATGGTGTTTAGTTGGACTCCCAACAGCCAGTTTTATGGTGTTTAGTTGCACTCCCAACAGCCAGTGTTCATGGTGTTTAGTTGCACTCCCAGTAGTCAGTGTTTGTGGTGTTTAGTTGCACTCCCAATAGCCAGTGTTTATGGTGTTTAGTTGGACTCCCAACAGCCAGTTTTATGGTGTTTAGTTGCACTCCCAACTGCCAATTTTATGGTGTTTAGTTGCACTCCCAACAGCCAGTGATCATGGTGTTTAGTTGCACTCCCAGTAGTCAGTGTTTGTGGTGTTTAGTTGCACTCCCAATAGCCAGTGTTTATGGTGTTCAGTTGGACTCCCAACAGCCAGTGTTTGTGGTGTTCAGTAGGACTCCCAATAGCCAGTGTTTATGGTGTTTAGTTGGCAAATATAAGCCTGCACCAATTCTTTTTGGCCTCCTACCCCCCTGTGAAGCAGTTTTCACAGTATGCAGTTATTGGTGAAAGAATTATTGGGTGAGGTGTTATAGCGATGCTACTGCTACTTGGAAGCCACATTACAAGCAGTACAAATGTGGTGCACAAATGTGGAAGGCTTTAAGATACTCCATGTAACAAACCACATAAAAAACAAAATGCAGATGGACTCTGACAAGTATATGGAGGACATCTGATTGTGTAATGGCAGATGTCGCCCTGCTACCTCAAAAGTCTGATGAAGACTTCCGTTCTTGAACAAATTTCTAATAAGAACCAGAAGTGCTTTTTTAAAATTTTAGTTCACGTGTCATGACCATTAGGATAGCATCGTCACTTTCTCCAACTGTTTGTCCTTTCTCCATTGAGAAAGTTAAGCAATGAGAGAATATCACATTTAGTTGATAGCTCTAGCTTTTTGAATTTGAACAGTCTAGGGCTTGTTACAGGGACTACCCAACAGCAGGTACAGCGTTAAAGCACAACCAGGCCATGCAGTATTAATTAAGCAAGTTTAATATAATAGACACCATGCAATCAAAAGCTACATGTGTGTTGTTGTATTTGATTGACAGTAAACTCTTAGGTCAAATCTTGGATGAATGGATAAAACATTGTAATATCTGGCATTTCAGTTGAGCAAAGTTCCAGATTTTTTTCAACGATCAAGTCTGATGTATACATCATCAACAGTGATTCCAACATAATTTGAACTGCCTCGCTGGACCATCCAAATAGACACATTAAAGATTGTTTCATTATAAAAATATCATTCTTAGATATTTCATTGTATCTCACAACTGCAAACTGTGCAATAAAGCAGTGAAATCTTGTAATTTCTTGTCATTTTGCACCATTACATAGTCTAATCACCACCCAATATGCCACTGGGCCACTAATAGTTATTAGGCTGACTGGGAAACTATGTGCAAGGGTTTCAAGATGGTCACATGGCCACAGCAAGAGCCAATGATTGCTCTGCAGATACAAGGTGTACAACGGACTTTATTCACAATTCGGCCATATCGAATTGAAAGCAAGGTTAACTTTCTTATTTTGAAAACCTAAGAGTAAAAGTGAAAACCCTGCAAAAATGCATTACAGATAATTTCACTGAGGATGACAAATAATTTAAAATACATGGTTTTTATATCTAAATGTTTGTACAGCACTTTCAAAAATGGAAGTGTGGCATGGAACCACTCTATTTTTCAGATTATATCGAATAAGATAGATTCAGAGAACATTATCAACTATGGCTTCCTTGCAAATAAAGTCTACTGGGTGCGTGGTAGGGATCAGGCTCACTCAAGGGCCAGAAGGATTGCCATTATGAGCTAGATACTGGGACTTGTACTTTACACACATATTCCAATAAAAAGAGAAAGTGCATTTGGGATGGTGACTTATGTTAATGCTTCGCAATCTGTTAACGTTTAGCAATCTGTTTTAACTCACATGCAACTATTTCATGTTGAGATACTCAATATCCCATTCTTTGGACGGAAAGTGTAATTTTGAGATAAACAGAGTTTTGAGTTATCTGACTGAGTTTACAAGAATTTACTGCCATATGAGAGGAGACAATGGTATTGGTAAGCAATAACACTGCTAAGAAACAAATTCAAAAGTAGCCACAAATGATGGGTCAGTAATAATCTTGGCGGAATTGGTTTAGGACAAAGCGATACAGCCATGTGTATATTCCAATTATTCTTTTTAATTTGATGATTGATGATGGAGTGAGGTTAAAAATGAAGTTTTTTAAAAGAAGATTACAGACCTACCAATTTGTGGCTTTTTAAATTTGCTTTGAGAAAGTTTGAAAGGAGAAGCAGACGAGCCATGAGTAAGCAGAGTAGGGTGGGAGGGTGAAGTGGGGGAGTGATTAGTGAATATTACATGAAGTGAGCGCACCGTTAGCATGGAACCAGCTTGCACCAGTGCCCCAGTTAGGGTAAAAGTAGCTGCTTTTTTCCAGTGTATCGCTGAGTGAGCTATTGGCATTACAGCATGGTGTCATGCAGCCGTGGTTACCCTGTCCATCCCTAGAAGCTGTATGTAGCCATGACTGTGTCTCAGCCCAAGCCTGGTTGGTACTTGGATAGGTCCCTGTGTTGCCGGCACCCACACCGCCACTGCAAAATAGGAAGTGTACACAATTTGAAAATACTGCCTTGCAGACTCATGAAGATGATAATTCAAAATCTTAATGCTATGTTATCCATGGTCAATCAATGTGAATTTTTCAGGATGCTGTGCTAAAAATGGACTTTCCCATGAAAACAGGAAGTACAGATTTTACAACAGGGGTCGATATTAACTTGAATTTCATGCTGGTCACCAGGACCATCATTTAGAGAATCCTACTGGTCCTGCTGAAAATTTGGTGGTCCTTGGTACTATCAAACGGTGGTGTAAAACTGCAACCTATTTCTTCCTGACATTTTCCTTTTAATTGTGGTTGTTTGTATTGCTTGCTCAAAACCAATTAACTGATCAACCCTTCCAACTACAGTCATCTAATTTCAGTCGAAAGACATGTTTCTATTGCTTCCCTCACACGATGAATTGAAGTTCATGTATTTATATCAAAAAATTGAGAAAAGGGGTTTCAACGTGTCATAAAAAATAAGCGAAACCATTTAGCGCGGCACAGTATGGCCACGGATTGGTCCTTCTTGTTATCGTTTGAAATGACACAGAGGTACCAGTTCGGGCTGGTTACACTACAGCCATACGAACATGAACGATGTATGCGTGATCGATCGATAGACCGCGTGCGGATACAGTACATGCACCTTCTTTTGCATGCTTGGTGTACATGTACAGTACATATTGGGCAACTGTACGTTCGTGGTTAGAGAAATCTCCGTGTATACATTACGTGCACTGTGTACTGTTACCAACTGGGAAACTATTTTCAGCAATGGCAAGTATAGTGACTATAAGCCACGTAGTTTCGAGAGAATAAAAAAACAGTGCGACAAGGAATTTATTTACTAATACCATTCATTTGCACTGACCCGCCGGACGATCGGGTTTGGTGGATCTGGTGGTCCTGATGATTTTTCACTGGCCTCGGACCACCGGACCACCGTTAATTTCGACCCCTGTACAAAGTTGGTGCCAAACATGTACAAGACATCACTCTAATATTAGCCAAGACTATAAAGCTGGATACAAATTTTATTTTGGTCCTATTTTCCGATTTTTACCCAAAGTGCAAAATGAAACGCGCCCAACAATTTGTTTTTTACAATTTCTAGTTAGGTGAGTGGAGGTCACGATGATGTACTACAATTTATCATATTTTTGAACTTCTTAATTTTTGTGTGGAATTTTCTGAGATGTTTAAAATAACAATGTTTATATCATTCATATCATAAATGTTCATATCATAAATATTCATATCATAAACTTGCTGGGTGAAGAGCAAATTCATATACCAGGCCAATTTACGATATGCTGTGAACTTAAAAACTAAAATAGGGGGCCTTTACAAGTCTTACAAGCATCCTTCAGTTCCTGACAAACATGGAACTTGTTGATGTTGTGTTCCAAAACACATTAAGATAGGCCTTTGTATAAAAATATGTGTTCACAGTGCCCACAGTTTCACTTTTGGGTTTGACGAACCCGCCCCCCAAGTCTCTGGTTAGGCAACAGGCCTGCTGCCGGGTGCTTTTAAAAATGCAGTGCACACATACGGGTGATTTTCAAAATTTTCAGTTTTCAAAATTCTTCAAAAATTCATCATGTCACGTAACGGATGTTTACACCCACACGAATGACTCTTTATACTGTAAGCTGATAGGTAGTCTTCATTGACTCCTGAATATTTCAGCCAGGCCTGCCACTCTATAAAGAGAGCTGTGAATTGTGAGGTGTTGCATAATTTCCTTTGTTCCCAGCGAATGCGAATGGCGTCTTTTAAAACATGGCTGGATTACCTAGCAGCGGTGCTGTGTTGCTCATCACAGCACTGCCCCGGAGCACTTTTGTCAAAGGTGCTAATTCGCGGGCGTGCTGTGCCCAAAACAGTGGTATACTGTTTAAAAGAGTGACAGATTACCTTCAAATAACGCAAGCCGAAAAATGATGGCAATTCCCAGCAGCAGGTTTTTTGTTCCGAGTACGGTCTTTTGTTACACAGACCAGCTCTTTTGTCCCATTTCGGGCACCCTGGCTCTGCGTATAAACCCATGATGCTTGAAACGGGGTTCCTCAGCTGCAAGTGGTTAAACTTTTATTTGTACAAAACTGTTGAACCATCGGTTGTGTTCACTGGTCAGCTGTTGAGTGGTCAAACGTAAGTCTCTACCCACAAATTTCTCCACCCAGCTTCAGTTTGTAATGAATGCTGAGCATTACATGCGAACTCCTCTGATGCTCACACCACATATTAACATTGATACTCACACATTCCGCAAGACACCTGTGTCTTTCCCAATAGCAGCTGTGTAGAAAAAAAATTGAAAGAACGTCATTTGGTAAGGTTCCATGTGCATGTACAATATCAATTCATATTAAATAACTGGAACAAGGTATCTCAGAGGAATAGGACTCATCCTAGTTTTTATCCAGAGAAAACATTCTGAGCTGGTGTTTTCAGGTTAGCATGAGTTAAGGTAGATAAGGTTGCTCACAACAGCTAGATAGATGAGTTCTCATGCACTTTATCTTCTAACACTCCGCAAGTGTTAAAGGTTAAGTGCATGAAGCACTTTTAATCCATCATTCTTCATCATTCTTCAATCAATGTACAAGAAGAATATAAACTGCTGCAGTTACATTGCCTTTTTACATGTACATGTATACTGAGATTTCAGGCCAGATTTTTCAAAAGGAAGGGGAAAACACCAAAAATCAACTTCTAAATCTAAGTCAGTGAATGCTCTGTCTCAATGACTTATTTAGCAATGGCCAAACTAAACACAGAAAAACATTTTGGAGACAGCGCTAGTTTTCTGGCCATGTGGCACCTCATGTCATTGTTTTATTTCTTCTGACACTGCCACTGCAACCTTTTCCAAGTTCAGAGTTAAAAATAAAATTTAAAAATAGGTCAAATGGGTTTTGCTTCGGTTTAGCCACATAAATGTTGGGGGACGTGCTATCCAAAACCTTAATGAGCATGAAACTTGTACATGCAGCTCAAAAGCCCCTGATATCACAATCTCACCTTTAGTCATAGCTGCTGATTGCTTCTGTTTGCGTTGTCGTCTCCATACCCAGACAAGAATCAGAAAGATGGTGACCAGCATAATACCAACTAAGGTGCTGATGAACCATGGCTGTGATACCACCATGCTGATGGTTCCACCCAAGTCATCATCGCCATCTCCAGAACCAGTCGTCAGTAAGACCATGCTGATGGTACCACCCAAAACATCATCGCCATCTCCAGAACCAGTCGTCAGTAAGATTGTAAGGAAAGTCAACACATAATAACTCATCTCAATGGTTCACACAATGGAAGCCGGAAACATGGCTGAAATTTGATTCATCTGTATAATCACACAGGACAGAGTCCCATTCTTGATGTGTAATTCAGACATTTATGCAATATGGAAGGCTTGAGAAACTCCGAGAGGAATATTTCACTCGTGCATAATGACACAAATGTTTACCAGCGTTGAAAATATTTGTGAATGTGGAGCTGGCTCTGAGTCACTAAAAGTGGATCATTAGCAAAGATAAACGTTCACTGAAATGGATGTTTAGTAAGTGGCCACATCCCCCCACATAATGGGCATCAAGGCCATCTTTATGGTAATCTTCTTTAAGTTCACACAAAGAAGAGCAAGTTGAGCTCCTCTCAGTTTGGCACTGACATCCAGATGAAAATGATCAATATATTAAAGAAAAGTGCTGAAGGTTCCCATTACTTTTCATGGTACAAGATTCCTTTAGAAGGCCTTTCCTCAAAAGTTGTTCTGGCGACTAACAAGCCTTATTTTATTATGTTGAGTCACTGTTTTTTCAAAAATGACTGACATGTGCACGGTATGTTCATGTGTATTTCTACAAATGCGAAGGTTGTAGTGGGTATAGACTGGCGGAAAGAGACATCATGACTGAAGTAGCAATGCCTTCCCATGTGCATCCTTAAACCACTTGCTGCCGGCTGCTTTTAAAAATACAGTGCAAACATACAGGCAAATTTTTCAGTTTTCAAAATTCTTCAAAAATTCATCATTTCATTTAATGGACCCACACGAATGACAGTTTAGTGGCTGCTCTAAGCTGACAGGTTCCCATCAGAGACTCCTGAATATTTCAGCCAGGCCTGCCGCCCAGAGAGCCCAGAATTCTGAGGAGTTGTGTAATTCCTTTGTCCCCAGTGAATGTGAGTGGTACCTTTTCAAACATGGCTGGATTAGCGAGCAGCGGTGCTGTGTCGCATATTAATGGGGCCCCTGGCACCTTTGTCCAAGGTGCTAACCCTCGGGCACACTATGCCCAAAACATTGATATACTTTGTAAAAACAGTGACGGATTACCTTCGAAAAATGCAAACCAAAAACTAATGGGAATTTTTGGCAGCAGGTCTTTTGTTCTGAGTATCGTCTTTTGTTACACGGACCAGTTCTTTTGTCCCATTTCGGGCACCCATGGTGCTCGAAACAGGGTTCCCTGGCAGCAAGTGGTTAAACATGTACATGCACTTTATCAAGTCATGACACCCTATGGGCTGAAGAAGAATGTTATACGCAGGCAAACGTGATGCCAAGGTAGTAATAGATTCTTGTTCATAAAGTACATTATTGGGTATGGGTATATTATTTCAGTTGCAGAAGAGTGGTACTTTGGTTGCAAGAGGTACACAACTTTGGTTGCAATGTATAATGTCTGTCATGAGTCCTGCACTTTAATTACACAGTGCAAGTCAAACAGTATTATACAATACCTCCTTTAATCATTAATCAATTGTCATTGAATTATTTGTTCTATACCACTGCACCCACTGAATAAAACTTCATTTCACTTGACTGATTCCAGCTCCATTTTCATAAATTCCATGCCAAGAAAAAAGAGGATTATAGTGTAGAGATAGAAATGACTTTAACACTGCTGGGTACTTTATAGCAGTGAGTGGCACTTCTGTCAAATCAGTTTTGAAAAACGACCAGTGTTCATATGCAAGGACTGTCTGCTCTCCTAACAGAAGAGGATTTATGGAGGTGTTGTACAAAATGAATGTTTCACATTTGTGCAACAGTAAGAATACAGTAAAATCTTGATAAGTCGAAGCTCATTAAGTCGAAACTCTGTTTACCTCGACGTCTTTCTGTATTCCCGACAAAAGAATAGGCCTTTATGTACAATAAACTATCTGTAACTCGAAACGTCAATACCACTAAAGCCGCTTATCTCGAAGTTTTGGCAGGCCAATTAAAAAAAAAACACTGAAGAATGATAAATAAAATGTGATGAAAGAATGTTTGCCTTCATTTATGAGTCATTACTGTCACACGCACAACTTTTCTTTGATGAGCTGAGCATGTTCACACAGGCTGCTATTGTCACGTTGACAAGCACTGGGTGGGCATCAACCGCAACCGTAAAGGCCGTGTCCAAAACAGGCTTCCAGAGCTACGGCTACGTCTTTTGTCTGCGCATCTCCATGCATTTCAAATGGAGTGAAAACCAAGACCTAGCTCTAGAAAAGAGATTCAGATGCAGCCTAAATCAGGCACGAATGATACGCCCTCAAGCGCTTTGTACATGTATCACGTGACCCAGCACAGAAACCCTGACCAAGTGGCCCATGCACTGCGTTATGCAGTAACAGCCCGATCACGCAAAGCAAATGAATGAATTCTCAAAACGTAGACACAGGTACCGGTACATAACTTAATTGGTTTATTGTTTATTAATGTACCACATAAAAACATGCTTAATGATGATAATTGAGGAAAACTTGCACAGTAGGGATAGCCTAAAATCCACTTCGTGTGCGACTCAGCTTGCAGGCCAACTGCCGTAAGCCAATAAGGTTGCATGTGCACTGAAGCGTGTAACTTTTGATAACTCGAACGTCGGATAACTCAAACTTTTCGTCCATTCCCCTGAGCTTCGACTTATCGAGATTTTACTGTACTTTCATTCAGTGACTAACAAAATGATCAACATTTCATCCGTCACCTCATGAAATTATTCCTACTGTGGTGGTACAAGTATCCATAATTTAATATCACTATTTTTTCTTTCAGCAGAGGGCGCTGTTTCACTTTTACCATTTTTTTTTATGCGAGTTTATTTGGGGAGTTATCCGTATGGAAAATAGGCCATTCTTAACTATTATTGAAGTCTCTTTTGGGAACTAACCATGGTAATGAAGTTTTTTTTTAATGTAAGGGTGTCAAGGAGCCAATTTGTAATTGTATAGGGGGTTTGCATAGAATTTTCCACAATGTTGAACAATGTTACAATGTTGGTGGAGAGATTATAAACAAGTGTTTACTTTGTGCAAGGGTTTTCGCGGGGATCGCACAGACTTGTGGAATGTTGGCCACCATGTCAAGACTGTAATTGAATAAACTTTTCACAAAATTATGTACCCTGAACCCAAACTCTGTTGAGTCAGTTCACTACACTACCACTGCCCCTATAAACATTGACTATTTGTATGTTACTTTTGCGTGTTTTTCCCTGAAGTGCCTCACCTGGTGGAATGTATACACTGACAGCTGTACTATTGGGTCCAGGGCCTTCGCTGGTAAAGGCTACAATAAAGACAGTGTACACCTTGCCAGGATTCAGTCCCGTCACCATCTCACTCAAGGTGTCATTACTGACAACCACTTGCTTATGTTGGGAAGAGTGGTTGCCGAGAACATACACACTGTAACCTGCCAGGATACCAGGAATCTGAGAGGCTGGGGGAGGTTGCCAAGTAATGAGAATAGCTGTGGAGCCATTGCTGCTGCCATTGACATTTCTTGGTGCTTCACGTGGAGCTGTGTGAGTACAAAAAATATATTAACACATTCAAAGAAGATGGAAAACAAATGCATTAACTACAGGGTTCTTTACTGTTAAAAAAGGATGTTTGTTCCCAATGATGCATTTGGCTCATCAAGTCAATTTTTATCTTTGGTTTCCATGGAACGAAACAACTAAAAATTTGTCTATTCCTTGTATGGTATGCCAGTCCATCACAGGTTGCTGGGCTTGTCCAAAGCTACAACATATGGTTAGCAGCTGGATTCGAATCCCTCAGTCACCTGCACCCCATACTGTTTTAAAACAATAACAATGTAACATTGTTTTGAACCTTCATCTTTGTGGTCACATGACGATGACTTTTACCAAAATTCAAGCTAGAAATTTGATTGAGTGACACGTGTCCTGAAACAGATTGAAAGTGCAAACTATTGACAAGCAACCATATCATGAGGCTAGGACACACTGGCATACATCTTGAATATAAACCTCTGCAATGCATCAGGTTTTATAACAACGGACTTAGTGCAAGAAAGGCTCATAGTATCAGTGACTACTAACAAAAGCCCGTGTTTGGGATACAGTGTGTCCACACACTGGATCATGCACATATGGCTCAGTATCCAATCCCTTGTGAGTAGCCAACAGTCATTTCTCTCTCTCCCACCACGAAGCAAATCCACAATGGCTGGGCCATGCCCTCAGTGCTGCAAACTTCTCCTAAAAGTTCTGATATCCTTCAGGGGATCTGATAGGTTTGGACCTTGTGTAAATTTCCACTACCCTCAAAAAATGTGATTGAGTTGAACTTACCACCAGGGCCAGTCTTGGCAATGAATTCTTGGCTCTCCCTTCCCACAAATGGACTATTGACCGGTGTGACAGTGATGGCATACTTTGTCCATGGTGTCAGATTTTTCAGAGTTTTCATTTGTTCTCGTCCATTATCTTCATTCTCTATAGTGAAGGTATGTGACCAAATTCTGTCTACAGACCGGATTGTGATGGAGAAGCTTTCAATGTAAGCGCTGTGTCTGGTGACCTATTGGACAAAGTACAAACCATCGTTAAAATGCATACAAAAAAATGGGAAGAAGTATTAACAGTCAGCTACTGGTAATTTGAAAGTCAGCTACTGGCAATTTGACAGTCAGCTACTGGCAATTTGACAGTCAGCTACTGGCAATGTCACATACTGTAACAAGATCTTGAATTTGTTTTTAAAATGCCAGACAATGCATCTACGATAGATTTTAAAATTTCAACTCTATGTTTCATCTTGAATTTTATGTTACATATCTAGTGTGAATTTTCCTTTCTTTCTTTCCCTGTAGTTCAGAAAATTTGGTGAATATACCATTTTTCTTGCACTAAGAACTCTTTTTAGAGCGGAAATTTTGTTTGTTTCTTGACGATTCTTTTTTCTTTTGCAACAGATTACCATGTCCAAAACATGCAACTAAAACTGTATTCCAGTATAGGGGGTAACGTTGTGTGGACCTAGCTTCGTCCACACAAGGTTTACACCAAAGATAGCTTTGTGGCACTATACGATCTTTGGTCTACACAACCTGCGTTTATGTGGACCACTTTTGTTCACAGGTCCACACTTAGTGTATGTGAGGTTAGCACATACTTGTTTCATAGTTGTGGGGACTACACACTGAAACATATGTGTCCGAGGACCACAACTCCATTTCAACTGTCCAAATGAAAGAAACTGTCCTCTCAACATGAGAATGCCCTGGGCAGCGATGCATGACCATTTAGCAGCACCTTTGGATCAATGCCTATCTGTCGCATATCAAATTAAAAACAAGCATTCGATTTCAAACATACCTGCCATATGACTTTAAGAGTTGTTGAGTCAATAGTCTCTACATTCTGTATGCTGATACCACATGAATCTAGCTTGTTCTGCAGAACATTATAACCAGGTCGGACAGTAACATCTATCACAGAAAAAGAAAATATATCACTTACCAATTGCTATGCAATAGCCAAAATCATTTCAATATTTGCACTCAAGTCAAAGGCCTCAACAGCAAGGGATATAAATGGTTTACAACTTTATCACCAAATACGAAGAAGACTTTTCCATACTGCCATTCATGTTTTAACTTCACCTCAGATTAGCCAAATAATATCTGTCCAACTTCTCTGCAAGTAAGTTTAGAATTTTGACTCTGACATGAGTTCCCATGTACATGTACAACGATACTTCAGCAACCATGACACTGTATACTCATCTTCTCCAAAGACAAAAAACAACAGTAGAATTATGCCCAACACCTCAAAACAATGTACTGATGGAATATTGCTGCCTTCTACGTTGACTTCTTTTTTACAATGTTATTAATTTCCTGCAGGAACTGTACACGTAGGTGGCAATATGCACTTCCTTAAAAAGAGCCATGAAGTGACACATGACAAGTGCACTGGTCCTGTGTGTGATTGGTGCAGAGTTTGTGCAACCAATTTGCAACTGTATGAGATACACCCCATGACAGCATGGATGGATCCACACCTGGCTAAAGAGGGGAAGTTTCCTGTCAGGAAAGTAGTTTAACAAACTTCTGCTACATTTTCTCCTTATATTCTCTCATTTTTGAGATTATTAGAGGAATTCGAATCCACAGATCTCCTAGAAGACGGGAATGTGCATCCCATTCTGGAATTTCAATGGATTTTGAAAAAAGCATCTGCCGGTTTAACCAAGTTCAGCTCTTTTGAAGCTACCAGCTGTGTAAAGGGTACAAAGGAAATAGAAATCTGAATAAAACAGTTGTTTTGCAGCTGTCATGCAACTACTAGTGCTGGATTATTCAGTAATTAAATCAGAACACAGAATTGTTGTCTACATATGTGCATATAGTTCTGGACTGTATGGCAACAATGTCAAAAGCTGTAGCTATAGCCACTAATATCAGGGAAAGCTAGACTTACATGTGGTAGTGAATGAAGCAGTTGGGGAGTCTGGTCCCCTTACATTCCCAACAAATGGCTGAACAGATACACTGTAGCGTGTGTCTGGCTCTAGACCCACTAATTTCTTGCTGGTAGCACCAATGACTACTTCCTGTTCTACTTCACCGGTGGGATTAGCACTCAGCCAATACTTGAGATAATAACCCTCAATCAGATCAGCAAACTGCTCAACCTGTAAAACATTCATCATGGTAAATGATGTGAGTAAGTTAAGGCGTACAGAAAGTTATTCCAGATGGTATGCAACCTTTGCCTGGATGTTTGTGTGTTATGGTCATGAACTGCTCACTTCCAGTAAGAAAAACTGGATTCACCACTTCAAATATATTATATCAATCCTCCTACAGTTGAAGGATTAAGACTGTAAGTGTAAACTTAAGCCCTGTCCGCACTGAACTTTATTTTTTGAGGATTTTACCGAGCCGATGGAAAAATGAAAAAGGGCAAATTTTACCACCGTCTGCACTTGGACTTTCGACGCGGGTATTTTTACCGAGACGCGTGGGAAAAGTACCCAAGCTGTCACTATAATGGCACATGAGGGCGCTTTGCGTGACCTTTCGTGTTCACCCTTTAACCCAAGCACGCGTGCACCTTTTACAAACTTTGTAATGTTTCAATAAAAATATCTGCCTTCATTCCAGAGACTCAAGAACACGAAATCACTGCACAGCAACCAGAATTAAGCTTTGCGGTGTGTACGTGTATGTACGTCACATGGACACTTGTAACGCACATGCACGGGGGTTTGTGTGAGCCTGGCCTTGCCAGTAAACCAGATGTACTCTTTCCTGAGCCACTTTTACCGACTCGCACTGTCCGCGCTGGACTTTCTGTTGTCGGAAAAGTGTCTCGGGAATTCTTCCTGGCCAGAAATTACTGGTAAAAATTCCTGTGTGGCTCGGGAAAAGTAACCAAGAGGAAGTCTTCCTGGGACGTCTGCACCAGTGTTGTAGTCGAGACCTTTATGTCCGAGACCGAGACCAAGGCATTCGAGACCGAGACCAAGACCGAGACCAGCTCTTTCAAGACCGAGACCAGACCTTCGAGACCGAGACTTTTGCAGTTTGAGACCGAGACCAAGATGACCGAGACCGAGACCTTGCACAACATATACAATATATAGGCCTACATGTACTTCATTAATGGTAAATGTGGTGGACAATTGGCATTAAACAGCAAAATTAAGTGCAGATTTTACATGTAAAGCACACAACATATTCCATATTCCATGAAAGAGTTTTATTTGAACTCTGAAAAAAACAGCACACAGTTATTTTGACCATGAAGGCATGGACTGCCGATGATATAGAATTTTGTATAGAGTATACGGCATAATTGTATATTAAACCATGTACATGTACAGAGTTTTTGTGTTCCATATGTATAAAAAAATTAACGTGGGCAGTCC